GGCTAGCAAGCCAATAGCTAGCCGCCACGTGTGCCTACATTAAGACTGGCCAATAATGTGGCGCGAATCCTAATACAAATGGCAGGGACTCCTTGCATCGCGCATTACTATAATGCAAAAGAAATGCACTATGCAAAGAAAGCTACAGAACTGGCAGGAAAAGCTCCTGCACGCGGGTTCTCTGTTGCAGCAGAACACTCCACCGTGCAAAAGAGCTGCAATTTGGTGGGAACGTGATTTAGCGATGCCGAAGCACACTCAAACAAAAAAACCCACAACTTTGGGTTGTGACAACTCAAAGTGGTAAAGACCAAGGTGGACTGTGAGGAAATACAGGAGGATTTGGCTTGTTGAGAGAATGGGCAACTAAATGGCAGATTAAATTCAATGCAGATAAGTGTAAAGTGATGCACAAGGGCAAAAATAACCAAAACTATACCTGCACTATAATGGGCTCTACATTAGCTGTTACCACAGAGGGGAGAGATCTGAGAGTCACTGTGGACAGTAAAAACATCAGCATAAGTGCTCAGTAGCCATTAAAAAGGGAACAAAATGTTAGGGATTATTAAGAAGGGAATTGTAAACAAAACAGAAAATTTCATTTTGCCTCTTTATAAAACCATGGGGCATCTACACCTTGAATACAGTACCCTGTTCTGGTCTCCATACCTCAAAAAGGATATAGAAGAACTAGAGGTACAGAGATGGACAACAAGGATGGTTAATGGTATTGAGAGGCTTCCATATGAAGAGGGACTAACGAAGGGTAGGCCTGTTCAGTTTAGAAAATGACAGTTGAGGAAGGACATGGTACGGGTTTACAAAATACTAAATGGTGAAGAGAAAGGAAATAGGGATGTATTGTGTATTGGCTCACAGTATGAGAATTAGGGGCATAAAGTGAAACTAGTAGGTAATAAGTTTAAAACTAACAAGAGGACGTTTTTCACACAGCATGTAACAGTTTAAACAGGTTCATAAAGGGATTGGACAGTTTCTTGGTGAAAAGGTGCATCAGTAGCTATTGAGCATGGGAATTAGGATGCAACCTCTGAATTACAACTACCTAGACCTTGGGGCAGATAGTCAAAAAGCCTGAGGCAGAATTGATTCAATCTAGGCAGCTTCCTCTAAGCTGCATAGGGTGAACAGATAACCAACTGAACTGACATTCAGTTTTCAGTTGGGAAAGGCAGAGGGAAGCTTGCACTGACCCAGCACATCACCCAAACTGCTGGTCATTGCAGGCGCCTATACATGAGCGCAGAAGCTGCTCCAAAACGCTGGAATTCTAGCATGTTGCTGTGCTTCAGCAGCCTCCTGCGTCGCATGTATTAGCACCCCCCTGCTTAACAAAGGCGGCAGGGGCACCTGGAGGTGGTCTTTAAGAGAAGGCTGGATGGGCATCTGGCTGGGGTCACCTGATGCCAACACTCTCTTTCCTGCCTAGGCAGGAGGTCAGACTCGATGATCTGTTGAGGTCCCTTCTGACCCTAGCATCTATGAACTAAAGCTCATTGAACAAGCTTGTGCACATAAAGTGCTTGAAAGGGAGGGTGAACTGGGTGTGACCAGGTCAAACTGTTTTTTGGAACGGTTTGCAGGAGACACAGCAGTGCTTTAATTAGAGAGGTTCTTGGAGCTGCTGTAATTAAAGCACATTCCCTTACCCCCTGCCTCCCCCTGCTACTGGAGCATGTATAAAAGTCCCCTCCAAGCCTAGCCAACTGTATCTGATTGGCTCCCCAGTACAAGCTCCCAACCCCCTGCTGTCCCCCAACAGAGAATTAAGGTTTCCCCTGTTCAGGTGCTGGCTCACCTTGGGAGAGCCCCCCCCTGAGGTTACTCCCAGCCTGGGTTTCCCAGCCCAGGCAGCTCTGGGGAGCTGAGTGGAATCCCCTGCCCCCCACCCTTCCCAGCTGCCGATTGCTTCAGCCACTGTCACAAGAAAGAGGGAGGAGGAGTCCTCCAGGCCGGGAGCCTGCCCCCGCAGCCCAGCATGGGGGCACCAGGGAGCCCCTGCCTTGGGGGCAGCCCCAGGGAGCTGAGGAGAATTCTTCCTTCCTGAATCCCAAAGCTGCTTGCCTTAGCTGCTGCAAGTCTCAGAGATGGCCCATGGCACCCTCAGGGAGCAGAGGGCAATTCTTCCACTCCCCTGCAGCTAGTTCTGCCTCAGTCTCACAGCAGCTGAGACAAAACCAGCTGTGGAGGAGTAGGGGAATTTCCTTTTGCTCCCTAAGGCTGCCTGAGACTCTCAGGGGCTAAGGCAAGCAGCTGTGGGGTTCAGGAGGAGAATAATTCCCCTCAGCCTCCTAGGGCTGCCCAGGGCTGGGGACTCTGGCCTTGGGGTGAGGGGAAGTCCCCCAAGGCAGGGGCTTCCCAGTGCCACCTTGCTGGGCTGCATGGGCAGACACTCAGACAAGAAGATGTCTCCCTCCTTCCTGTGGCAGTCACTGAAGTAACCAGCAGCTGGGAAGGGGGAGGGAGAAGGACTGCTTAGGGTCAAAAATCCCCCCACCACAGATTTTTCCCCCATCCCACTGATCTCTATGGGCTGATGGATGCAGGCAGGAAGCAGGCTAAGGAGCAGTGGGCCAAGGCAGTCCAAGCTCCACTGGAGCAGACAGCATAGCCCAGGGCTGCAAAGCATCCTGGGATGCTGGGGGACTGTAAGTTAACTTGAACCAGGAAGGGATCTGGGACAGAAGTTCCATAAACTGGTTTAACTTAAATCAGTTAAGTCTGATCCAACCAGGTTTATCTTGAACCGGTTTTGGCTATTTTGAAAGCAGATTATATGCACTGAACTTCTATTACAGGTTTAAACCAGTTTCCAATCACTTAAACCGGTTTATGTGTAACTTCCGTCCCTAGCCTAAATGCCAGAGGCTGCAAGTGAGAGGGGAAGAATGAAATAAAACCCTGGTCATAGCCAGTTCAGTCTCCCTTTCAGCATCTACTCTTTGCTACTGTGTGACACAGGATACTGGGCAAGATGGTCTGACGCAGTAAATGGCAATTCTTTGTTCTTATGAGTAGGAAGGGGAAGGATAGGCAGAACTGAAACTATAGTAGATGGGAAGGGGATATAGGAACTCTGTGTGGTGTTTTTGTTCAAACCATTGTAAGCCTTTTAAGTTGTGTACCTTTAATTTAACACTTGCATCAAGGGTATGAACATTTCAGAAATGTGAGAGAGATGCTAAAAAGATCACAAATGAGCAAAAAATTCTCTAGTTTCAATACAGAGTTTTTCTGCATATAAATAATGAATAATAATAATAAACTAATACATAACTAATAATTCTCATCTGCTCAGAACCCAATATGATAGCCATAGAAGCTAGTGAAGCTCTTATAATTCACTTTATAAAGTATTTGAACAGGGTCCAAAGGCAAAATACAATCTGTACTAAAGGTCCCATGTATTT